AGTTCAATAATTTTACCGAGATCTCTCGGTAAAATTACCAATTCCATAAATGGTAATTTTACCAAGAAAAAACTGGGATCAAATAGAACCCTGAATTCTTGGTAATTTCACCCTTTTCTTAGTAAATACACCGAGATTTTTTTTTCAGTGCACGTCAGAAAAAAATTATAAAAAATAATACGAACGCAGCTTACGAAGCACTCAAAGATGCAACACTAAAATTGCTTCTCGCGAATTCTCCATCGCAATATTGCACCCACTCGATGCATAAAAATCGGAATCTGCGACCACCTCCTCGATTAGTCCACGGTCCATTCTGGCCGGACCAGAATGTCAGAGGCTACACAACCGAGTCGGCAACCTTGACTCGGCGAAGAACCGGCACGGAGGTGGTCACGCTGATTTCTCGAACAGGTGTGCTGGAGCTGGAGCTGGCTCAGCTCAACCCGACTCCGAGGCTTGAGGCAGCGTTGAACTATCGAATGTTGGTGGTTGAGCCGAGCATTCGTCATCGTCGCCCACGCGGCCCGGCCACGCTCCTCAACCGCACCGTTAAAAAAACATCGTATCCACCCGCAATCCCCATCGTACGTTACGCGGTTTCTGCTTAGCACAACGGCAGCCTCCTCACGAATCCGCCAGCGCGGAAGGAATCCGTTGCTTACCTCCTTTTTGTCGTCTCTTTGCCGTAAAGGCGTATTTTCCTCGATGCGTGAGCCCTGGAATGCATTGGGTTAAATGAGCGCAAAGGCTCATTATAAAAGGCTTTTGAGTGGCGTTTTGAGGGACGTTTTAACGAGGTTTCTAGGATTGCGGAATCGGGGAATAGGTAGCCTCGTGGAGACCTTCCAACGGTCGCACCTTAAATTATGCAATGAAAAGCGTTCTGGGTGTTAAACGGCAATGTCACGCAAATAAGATTGAAGAGTAGGGCATTTGTTGTTTTTTCTTTGCAATTAGTTGAATTGCATTTCGCAATGAGGAAACGCTATTCCCGGTTCATTCATAAAAGTACTTGTCTGCGTAGGGTAGCCGATGACACAAATTGACGGAAAAGCTGCAACAACGCGTAACTTGTGTTCGGCGCTTCAAAATCTCCACTCCTTTTTGCTTTCATCTACGGAGAACGAGATGACACTAATGCTTTTTATTTTTACAGAATGTTCCTCACGCAGAGAGGAACAATCAGGGAAACTCTGAATGCATTTCAGTAAGTTTCGGCATGAAATATATTTTTTCTTTGTACTGGATTTTTTTTGACAAAGTTTAAGTGCATTTTCGTCAGTTCCTAATGTATGTCGCGATTACTTGTATCTGGCTGAAGGGGTAAAGTATAATGTCACTGCATGAACAGCTATTTGTTAACTGCTGACGACCTGATCAGAAACCTGTATATCGTCATGAAGCATATCGTCTGAAGCATATCGTCAGTTTATGAACACCAGGTAGGAAAATCAGGTGAGTGTTTACATCGCTATTTCCGAGTATTGCGGGTCCGACAGGAGTTTCGGCTGTATTATGTCTTCATACAGCTGTTTCAATTTCAATCCTTGTTTCATTTTCAATATCGCAACTGAGGAGGACACAATTGGACTGCATTTTTCAATAAGGAGCTACTATTCCTCGCTGACGGATAAAAACACCTATCTGCATAGGAAAAATAATTGAACATATGTTTTTTTCTAAAATGAGCCAGAAATTGTAGTACCTAATTACAAAATGTGGTCTAATCGAGCATCAAAACGTACCGCACAACTTTTTTGCCTTTCAAAACAAAGTAAATTTTGAAACTTTTTGGTATTGAAATCATTTCATTTTAGTGTAATGAGAAATCCACTTTATCGCAAATTTTTTAGTAACTCAATCTTTTTTAGGACATCCTCATTTACAGAGCTGTGGTCAAAAGCGAAAGATTTATAACAAAATTAAATCAAATTTGAGGGCCCGGAAGAAAAATGCGCGGTGGCGCCTCTCTACTCTTGATGTAATTCACAATTTCCAAACTTACATATATATTACGTTACGTTAAGTTTTGTTAACTGGCCTTCTCGACCTCATAACCAATTTTGTTACACTAAATGAGTCCCTACTCATGAATATACATTAGCGATTATGCATTAGCAATGTTTGTTATCTCTGCTAGTGCGGTAAATCTGCCTCAACGAGATTTGTTTTGAGCTTGAAATTTAGAAACGTTGAATAATGCAATTGAACCCCAGTCCATTTGTCAAAAGACCGTTTCGAAGGCGACTACATGACGGTGGTATCTCGGGTGCTTTATCTTCGAAAGAAAATATTACAACATATTTCTGTGAAGAATATTCGGGAAAAAGTCTTGAAAAGACATATTACATAGCGAAAGTAGACTTCGCGGATGTCCAGTAAGAGTAGAGACAGGTATGGCTGGAAAGTCTGTTTCAACAGTTTAATGATCTGTGCATGAGTAGGTTACATTCACGATTGGGAGTTGCAGAGCCCCTTACCCAAGTAGCACCATACAATGAAAATTTTACAATAAAATCGCGATTTCATGCAATAATTTTGCAATAAATTTACACAATTTGGTCAGCAAATACCAATTTTAATCGATCAATAAGATGAATTACATGTCTCTTAAAGATAGGCAATTTGCAATGCAAAAATAAAATTAAAATTTATTTAATTTTTTTTTTTTACGAAAAATTTCAATTGGAATTGTATTTTTAATCGGTAGATAGGCAACACACAAAACACTCCGATGCAATGGCAATTTCACCACGGCATTGCAATTCATTGCGGTCTGTGCTACTTGGGTAGTGTTCTGACTCAGCGGTTTGAGTGTATAAATGAAGGGTCAGTCATCATCCAGTAAAAGAAAATGTGACATGTAATCTGCAACGTTGCGAGCCGGGATAAGTGGTTTCGTACTTTCACCATCGCTATTTTGTCTCACTTTACGCTTGAGTTAGTCGTTGCACAACGCATGAGTTATGGCTGGAGACCTTACCACTCCACCATCGAGATTATAATGAAGTTGTGGGACTCGCGTAGAGATTAAAAATAAGCAAATTCTGCTAGTGTACGTGCGTAAAAAAGATAAACCATGTTTCGATTAATTTTATGGGTCAAATAAATGCACTTATCGAAAGTCCAACTCCATTGGAAGATTCAAGGGAAAACTTAAATACTTCAAGGATAGATAGGATTTTAGAACTGGAGGTAGTCTTATCCCAATGATGAACCCCTGTAGCAAAAATTTGCCCACAGTTGGCTATTGGCTCTTTAACTGAAGTACAAGCCATAAAGTCACTGAGGTGGAGGAGAAGGAGGAGGAAGAAGAAGAGATGATGAAGAAGGAGAAGAAGAAGAAGAGGAAGAAGAAGAAGAAGAAGAAGAAGAAAAAGATGAAGCAGAATTGGAGGTTGGAAATTTCTGTCTAGAGGTTTCCGTGAATGGGGGAATCAGCGGTGAAATAATATGGTGCAGTCTGGACCAGATGCAGGGGTTTTCCCGAAGTCCTCATATGAAAAGCGATGACGGCCGAAGTACAAAACAACGTATCTCTCTTTGCGACGTCGCAGACTTTCTGTCATTCTTTATTTTCTCTTTAGAAAACTAGTCATCCTAATTTCTAGAAAACTTCCTGAATAAAGTTGACCCGTTCCTCCTCGAAAAAGTGAAATGGAAGAGGGATTTTGAAACACCGCATTGGAGATAAGTATGGTTTCGCACATTGGCCATCGATAGACTTGTTCCGCGTATTACAACTGCAAGAGTGGGAATGCATAGAGAGAAAAAAGGAGGTGTTTGCATTTCGGGCATCTTGGAATTTTTTTGATGATTTGATGACGTAGGTCGGTACAGCGACGTTTATCCTGTCGATTTTCTTGGAAACGGTGTAATTTAAGGAAAAAAGTCATTCTATAAAAAGTGCTTGAAATTATATAATGAGTTGATTTAAGTAAAAAAATCGGACATTATGGTCCGTTTTTCATATTTCGAATTCCGGATTTCGCTGGCCAGGTTGTACCGACCTACGTCACAGGGTAAACAAACCTCAAGATGCAAACACCTCCTTTTTTTCTCCATGGTGGGAATGGGTCGTGTGGTTGCGCTTGTCTTGGAATCGCGTTTTAATGATTTCAGATTATTGATTGATCAGCAAAAATTTATAAAATCTATCCAAACACTAAATTTCCACGTCCAATGTTAACGAAGACATCGCCCTTCAAAAAACACGCAAGTGACGTCATCCAGCGCGGTGGTGCATACCATGGTTTCATTTGCATTTTGAGTGTAGCACCCTGTGTTAATGTGTGCATCATGAGTCGATGACTTAAATGTGAAGGAAACCATGGTGTATATGGACGTGCCAGATGACGTCATTTGCTGCTTCGGAGGGCAATATCTCTATTAATATTGGACGTAAAAACTAAGCGTTTCGACGGTCTCATTATTATTTGTTCATCTATGAGTTCAAACTTTCAGCACTTTAAATCAACTCAAAACTTAACAGGCGTTTTCCGAGTGGACGTTAGGGAAAAGCTACTTTCCCAAAGAAATTCAGGATTATTTTATTTTATATTTTTATTTATTTATTTATCATCTAGCATGTTGTCTTTGCATAACCGATATAAAAATCATCAGGTAGAATTTTGCCTTAATTTGTTTGAAGCAAGATTCTTAAATACGCTCGGGTATACAAATTCTCGGATAGATAACTATTACTGCTCAAGGAATGTTTTGTGGCCTACCTTGCGAATTGAAGGCGAAATAGCAATGTTCCTCTAATTTTTAAGTCTGAAGACGTTGCCTAGGAAAATCGATATTGTGAGTGACTATAGCGCAAACAGACCTATCATATTACGAGAAAAGAGTCTATCTGCAGTATGGATGATGGATCAGCTTCTTCATCTTTCACTAGTCCTCAACTATTACACATATGCCTTTTTTCAATACCCTCGATATACATAGACTCATTTCATTCAAAGGCTTCCAAATATCTTATGGTTGATACTTACAATGATCCTGACTAGACATCGGCTCCCAGGTGTGCGATTCCAAACCCGTGCAACTGGCTCACTCACGATTTGTTTTCACAGAAAGTTATCATCCATCAACTTGACTCCTTCGCGATGAATCAACGTTATCACAGATTACTTTTCACTGAGAGGCACGCAATTGTCACAGTTTCAGAAGTACACAATTACCCAAAACCGGTAAGATTAGCGTTCCACGATGAACTAACTCTCGACTGTAGTTAAGCCCCTGCAAAGTGCGAATAAAATATTTGTAACGTAGTCAGGCAAAATGTGCCTTAAGAGGCATGGTTTTGTAACAGATCAGGCACGTTTTGCCCAGAGCAGTCATATTATGGCGTTTCCAGACAAAAGAACGTAACTCCATTCTGAGATTGCAAAATTTTCTCGCACGATTCACTTCTTTGCTGCAAAAAAAGTATGATTTGAGGCACCGTGACATGAATAGGACCAACAGACTTCTATGGTATTGAATACCAACCGTGCCTCTAACCGCATGCACCGAGAGAATAGTAAATGCTACTAGACGTCTGGTTATCTTTACCCTACAATTTCACTGTTTCAAAAATCAGGTAGACTCATTTTTATTTTATCACATTTCTGGTAAAATTTGCCATACTTTTTGACAGTGTTCTTAGGAATATGACTCTGCACATACTTAAAAAAATTTCTAATTTTTGAGGGTAATTCGAAAAAAGTCAATGCGATTTTCAGGTATTAGTCCTCAATACTTTCCTAGTAAAAGTATAATTTGTGAGTGGAGATTTCGCAGCGTTGAAATGTAGTTACGTCTGGAGAGCGCCGATTTGTTCTGCTCACAACACAATTCGTCGATTCCCACAAGAAGGAGCATAATTCCATTCCAAGGCTGCGAAATTGACTTGAACATTTCAATTTTTTACGAGAATGAACCTACATAATTTTTATTGAAAATTTGTCTGATTTCTGCTCTGGACCAACAGGAAAACTAGCGAAATTTTCAGTTCGGAATCCCCAACGCTATCCTAGTAAAAATTCACTTTGTGCGGGAAAATTTGGTAAACTTGCAATGCGGTTACGTTCTTTTGAGAGGAAAACAACGAATTATACGTTAGAAATGACGGCTAGTTTATTTTGAAATAAGAGAACCGACAGTGTTAAAACTTTACAACACTTTACAATTTGTAGTTACTTTACAAGTAACTGCCCTCCGTCCTTGTTATATATGTCTTATAAACATATTGCACCCAACATTCGCCTTCTCCTTTCTCTTTAATTAATTACTCTAACTAATAAGTCTTGCTATACTGAAAAAAAGGATTGGTAGAATTTACCATTCCTTCACGCCGTATTTCACACAGCGTGAATTCAAAGTCGATTCTGCCAGAAGAATGGTTACCTGTACCAGTATATAGTAACGTTTACCTTTCTTCCGGCAGAATTGACTCTGAATCGACGCTGTGTGAAATACAGCGTGAAGGAATGGTAAATTCTACCAATCTTTTTCTCAGTGATATCAAAAATATATCCAGACAGAATGTGAATGAATATATATTTGTAAACAAAAGACAATGAAGAACTTAATAACCCCACCCCCCCCCAAAAAAAAAAAACCAAGAAATTAGAATTTGTGCCACTAAAAAAAACAACATATGGACACACTAATCAAGACGTACTCAGATATATTAACCAATCACAGAAACGAAACGAACACAGGATGAAAGCGAGACTAGAAGCACGGCGAGCGGCGCGAACTCGCGACACTCTCGCGGGCGGTTTTTACTTTTTTTCCGCGGGAAAGACGCGCTACGCACCTGGCGCACCTGTGGAGGTCGGTCCTCGACTGAAGACGGAGCGAGAACGCGGCGTGGCAGCCAGTGGAGCGGTCCCGGTCGGCGCGGCGGCTGAATTAGTCGAGTCCGTCTCGACGCGTCCTACGCTCGCGCCGGCGCCGCGGCGGTGAAGGAGACATCGTCGGTCGTGCGCGCAAAGCTGATTGCGAGTCCAGGCCATCGAACAGGTTTTTCTCGCCCGAGAGCCGCGGAGAAGTTGCCAGGCGAAATTGTACCGATCAGCTGGGCCGACCGCTCCTGGACCTGGTGAAAGAGCCCGGAGAACGCACTGCGGGTCTTGTCCAGCTGCACGCCGCGGGCTTTGCCGATTGAGTGCTGGCTGATGGTTGAAATGCTGCTGCTTTTCTGCGGACTGGTCATGGGAATTGATAGACATAGAGTACCTGTATGGCGAGAGTATGGACAGATCGCTTCATGGAGGTCTTAGGGCCCAAAAGTGCAGCCATCCTTCTAACCAACTTTTAACACACAAAATTTCACTGCCAGTCTGCAGAGTCTGCAAATTCCAATCCTAACCAAGATGGCTAAGAATGTACAAAAATGAGCGTTCACCCGCAAAAATGAGTAAATTTATGGAAAAACTGAGTCAAATACGTGCTTTATGAACGACGGTTCGTGACAATAGTATTGATGAATCGTTATGGTTCATTGAAATGCATAGGTTGGCTGCATTTCTGGGCCCTAACTTTGTTTGAGGAAGCATCGGTGAAGGCCTGATGGATTTTCGGAGTTTTACATCAGTCCGTACTCTTGCTAGACAAGCGATAGTCAAAGGAGACAAAAGGCGAATGGAGCGATCCTTATGGTTGAGATGTGTGGTTGCCGTTGAATGCTGACTGCCTGATTGTTGTAATGCCGCTTTTTTTGCGGGCTGATCATTCCAATTGACGAACAAATGAAAATGGAGCGATACCAATGGTTACAATGGGTCGTTGCAATAGACTGAGGGGAAAATAATAGACTAACCATAGGATCTCTTGTGGGGTGCATTTGGTTTGTCCATCACGACTTACCTCTTACATCCATTGAGCTATTACTCACTTCCACCACTCTCTTTGTATTCTTTGTCTACAGCTGTGTCCATCAAATTCAATAATCAGCCTGCTGGTAAAAGAGCCAAAAGAACATATTGTGGGTCTTCACTGTTCAGCTACTGGCCACGGACTTTGACGAATGAGTTATTGGTTGATTGTTAAAATTGTGTCGCTTTTCTGCGAACTGAATGTAACTAAATTGATAGACAAAGCGGAAGACAAAGGTTTAGACAAAGAAGAATAAAGAAAAATGGAGCAATCTTGATTGTTGAAACGGATAGTTGATATAGATTAAGGGGAGAAATGAGAGAGTTGAGAGACTCTATCTCGTGGGTCGCCGTTGGTTAATCTATTACTTGTCTTCTTTGTCTATTGCGATTTTCTGTCTCCGTGAAAAGGGTCGCTCCTTTTCCTCTAGCGTCCACAACATATCGTGAAGTTTGAATGGTTGTCAATCCATGAACCACACATCAATCTTGCTCCTTAAACTTTGAAAGCATCGATAGATAATGTGTGGACCTATTCACAGTATAATCAAATAAAGTCCGCCTTCTATTTCGCTGCATAGGCAACAAATACGCCGAGGAGCTTGAATAGTTGCGTGGTCGAAAAACACGCATTACTTTCGCTCCGTAAACTTTGGTAGGATCAACAGAAAATATTTGAGCCTGCTAACAGATATCATCCGATTAAGTTCTCCTTCAAATAGCCGCTTAGGCAACAAACACAACAAGGATCATTTTCATGTATATTAGGGATTAGGGAATATTTGTCATAGCTGAATATTTGCTGCAAGGGGATATTTGGTGAATAGTATAAAAATGCATCGAGCTAACATTCCGTCAGAGACATTTCAACAATAAAACAATATTTCTGTATACAAATTTTCTTATCAAGTTCAACGAGTGCATATTTACGTATTTTAATTGTGCCAATTCACCTTACCAAGCATTTCACTGATCACTTCTTGGATCTTCCTATATTTATTTACTTTTCTTTCCAGTACTTCCTTCCCCTTCCCCTCTTCCCCCGCATCTATCTCTATAAATGTTCATTTTGGTGTAACTTATTTGTATCTTTTTTTGTTAGTAAATAAAGGTGCTTTTTGTAAACGACAAAATTCAACCATCAAAATACGACTGTGACTTGCTCAAAAGAACAGTTCCACAGGACTTTCATCAGAAAAGAGGTGACTCTTGAATCAAAGAGAAAAAAATGGGTCAGGTAATTGAGGCAGTTCATACTAAGATGAAATAATGGTACATTTGTGAAAATCTCTCCGTAAAAAATGTAAATTTATAATAAATTAAAAGACGAGAACATGCATTTTACATAATACATAGGCACTGATCATTTTTAAAGATGACATTGTTGAAATTTGATTCGTTTATCAATACCGCAATTAAATTTAAAACTGAATTGATATTATGTAAACAGAAAAAGAAATACTTTTTTTAAAAAAATATAAAAAACCGGCAAACAGAAATTTATTTTTGCACAACTCGTGTATTAAAAGTTGTTCCAGAAACTTTTGAATAATTGAATGTTGAAAACAATGAGTAACACAATGAATAAATGCACGATTTACAAATAATAATTCACCTTCAACTTTCTGCAGGAATGCGGTGTTTTTTTTAGCGTCGACATACGCAGAAAAAACAATTACTCGTCAATGATTGAATGTAATCAATGACCAATTTATAACACCATCATTATACGAGTTATTCATTACATCGATGATTGTCCGATGAATTTCAAAGAAAATTAATGGTGAGCAGTTTTTGCCTGAAATTCAAGTAACCATTAAGTAGACAGTGTACTGCCGTACTAAGCAAGAACGCCGTAAATCCATCAAGATTTTCCCTCGTTTTTTGGAACTTAACACTTTATAAAATAAAAACTTTTTTATCCATGCACCTCAAATTTTCAGGTTAAGTTTTTGATAGTATTTGCGAAAGAATTCTGTAAAAACATTGTCCAAAGTTACACAAGTTTTTCTACTATGATACATTATTTCCAAAAAATATAAACTGGCTTTTACGGCGTTTTTGCGTTGCATGGCAGAAGTGCAATATACCTCAGATCAAATACATCGTACTAGAATAAATAAGAAGAAATAAAAAAAAATCTGGTTGACTCGTGATAAGTAAATAAATAAATAAATAAAAAGGCAATAATGATTTTTGAATGCCAGTAACATAAAAATTACTTAAATTGAAATATCGATAAGTCTATAAACTGTGTCTTGAGGAGCTGCTTTTGTGTTTTGAAAATTTCAAAGTATACCGATATTTTTCTGAATTGGAAGCATATATTTGGCTTTAAAGAAGTTCCATCAACAGAAAACATCCGGTGAAACGTTCCTCTCATGACGCTCCTGTGAAATTATCAAGCTCCGGTAGTTTCGATTCGACGATTTCCTCCAGATTCACTTGATCGAGGATGGATTGTACTTTGAGCCTGATTGGTTCTTCCAGTGCATCAACAATGATGTGACGTATTAAGTCTGGAAGTTGATTGACAACCAATTCAATGACGTAGTCCAGAGATCCTCGGCCATCCATCGTGAGTTTCACCTTTCCCACCTGAAATGAAACAGTTGGAAGCACATTAAACACTAGGCACTGTTAACTGCAAATGGGGAATTGAGGAAGTTTGTTATATTTGACCTAAAGTACCTTTATAAGGCGAGTACAGACAAAGCCGCGGCCCATGGCGGCAAATTTTGGGGGCGACAAATTGTACAATTTTTTTTAAATGCAGCTATAAAGAAAAATCGGATTCAGAAAAAAAATTACAAACGAGAAAAGGTGACAAAATTTCTCATTTCCTGAGAGTAAATATCTAATTTTGTCGTCTTTTTGTGATTCAATAGACAGCACCTTTTATTAGTCGAGTTAAGACCAAGAAAGAAACCGAACACAGAATTTGGCCTGGAACGGCGCGGCGCAGAGAGCAATGATGACGAGAACTTGAGATGAAGAGGGAAGCCCTCGGCGCGGCGCGCGGCGGTCGGCATGAACACATATTAGCGCCCACAAGACTGCATGAATACTTCACGCATTGCGTCAAAGACAGCGCGATCGCTGCGGATATAGCAGCGGGCGGCGTGAAACGCATAGCGCCTACAAGACTGCATGAATACTTCACGCATAGCGTGCAGCAGCGGTCGGCGTAAAACGCATAGTACGAATACTTCACGCATTGCGCCAAACACAGTGCGGTCAGCGCGTTATTAAGCGCGTCAAGTTAAAATTATTAAACCACATTTGTGTTTGTTCTTGCATAATTTTTTCGTTCATTTCATATAAATGGAAGACCTTTTCCACACAGAGATAGGTTTACGGAACTTAATGTTCGCGCCAAGTTCCGTGAACTTTTGCTAGTGGTGTTGACAGGGCTTTCGAAAAAAATGTATCCAACACGAGTAAACGCGTCTTATGCACCCCTCTCCCTCCAGCACGTTCACTTGATGGTTTTTATTGATATTTAAAAACGAATGAGATGGAAGCGGTAAAATATAGGCGACCCATAGGCGGCAAGTAAGTAAATCCGGCCCTGTTAGGCTCATAAACTTGGATTTTTTTTTAGCAGCCTCTTTAATCTCGATAATGTATTACTAACTGGAAAAACGCATCTCGCGTGCTGTTATGATAATTAGCGTCTCTCACTCAGTACTTCATTTTGTGTACTATATTTTCTGCTAACTCTATCAGCTATTAGCAATGGTTTTTTAAACATCTTTTAACATTTTTTCATTTTTTGACCAGTTTCCAAATGTTTTAGATCGCTTTGCCTCTCGCTATTCCTCTCCATCATGCATTGTGACAATTCATTACTGTAATTAACTTTTTTCTGTGTTTTGTTTTAACTGCTTGCTGAAGATGGGCTATGACCGAAATGCATCCAAGCCAATAAACTTATTCAACGATATGCGTGTGTCGGTATACTGTTTTATCTTTTTCATCTTTAATGTATTACTCCTGTTATAATAATGTGGGCTCACCTCGACATCGAGATCATCGAGGATGGGTGCGTGGCGGATGTCAAGGGACTGGTTGACGAAAGCGCGGATCTGAAGATGTTGGACGGTGAAGTTGGAGACGCCGGTGCGGGCCAGTTTCCCGCGGCGACCCAGCGACACGGTCCACGAGCAGCCGCCCAATAATTCCTTCGTCACCAGCTGGAGTCCGATTTGAACGACGTTGCTGTCCATGGACAGAGCCACCTCGCCCACCCGGTAAAATTGTGAAAGACCCTGAAACAGAAATAGACGGAGTGTGAAGTTTTGCGGAAGATGCTTGATTAGGCTCCTCTTGGGCAGGGTCGCAATTTTTCGTGAAAAATAAAATCTTGATATTTCATGTGAAATAATTCATGAAATTTCAGAAAAATATAATATTGAAAAGCATTTTTCGAAATTGAATAAGAGGCGACTGGTTTTTACTTTTTGGTGTTTTTAGTGCGTGTTGCATACCCAGCCCCAGAAAATATGTTTCATATTTTTCATTTTACCCATGCGACTCTGCTCTTGAGAGGAAATGAAAGGAATGCCCCGTCCGGTGAACGGATGGCGACAAGAGGTTTTACATGGACCACGTTTACCGGAAAGGATCCAAGCCATATCAGCTATTGCCAAATTTATTTGAGAAATTTAATTTTTTTTGCATAAAAACGATTACGCGGATTTTTTTAAAATTTCAGTGAATTTTCTGCATAGTACGAGGCGAATTCCTTAAAATTTTCAAAGGAATCCACACAAAAGCTCTCTTGTAAAAAAATTAAATTGCCCGGTTAAATTTCGCAATAGCTGATGTGGCTTGTTTCCTTTCTACTAAACGCGGTCTAAATGAAACTAGAAGCAGTCCACATTTCAGTAGGAGTCGAGGGGGAAAAAAATATAATTTTCACTAATATATTTACCAGACTTCATTATTCTGAAGTTCGTGATAGTTTCGCAATTTCACACATGAAATCGTATGTATTTGATTAAGCTTAGGATGTTACATATTTCCCGTCGCATTTCATTTGTCTGCAGACAAACTGTCATTGTTTTTGTTTCCAAGTCCGTGCATTTCATCGGGATTATTCATCACAAATTTCGGACTTAAATGCCAAAATTAGCTATCCCAAAGGATTTGAAAAAATTCCAAACAAATAAAGATCCAACAATAAGACAAATAAATTATGCTATATACCTCATTTTTTGCAATTTCGAGAGTCGGCAATGTTGTAAGACATTTAAATAATGCATTTCTCGGAAAATTGACAATTTCGTGAAAAAAATCAGTAATGATTTACTTCATCGGCGTGACAGGCAACGCTGGAATTGCGTTAAGGAGTAAGAGATACAATCAAAGCTTCAGTCAGTATCACATGTGACGGATACTAAAAGAAATTCATTATAACGCCTGAATACAACTATTCGAACTCTACGGATGTCCGTGTTGCATACGCACGGATGTGAAGGCGTTTTGACATCGGACACTACCAGCGGCGCTCAGCGGAGCGAATCAATCGGACAAAATGTGGACACATTTAAAGCTCATTCCGATGTTAATACGGGACGTAGGGGTAGAAGTGGTTACATTGATTTTCTCGTAAAAAATTTTCCAAGAAGCACCCCATACAATTTGTAGTATGAAGAAATTATCATTAAAGATCGGAATGTGCAAGGCAGGAAAGCTATCGCGATGCTAAATGGGGTTCTCTGGGATCAGAGTATCTCCAAGGAGACCAAAAGGAAAATTTACAACGTCATCGTTAAGAGTATCGTAACTTACGGGAGTGAGGTCTGGCAACTCAAGAAAAGAACTGAAGACATGCTTAGGGCAACTGAGATGGACTTTTGGCGGAGGTCTGCTGGCATCTCAAGAAGAGAGCGTATCCGCAATGTAAAAGTACGCGAGATCATGGGTGTAGAGAAGGACATCGTGCACGATATCAGGTCCAAGCAGTTGGTCTGGTATGGACATGTGCGAAGGATGGCAGACGACCGGTTGCCCAAGCAGGTCTTCGATTGGGTTCCTCCCGGAAGGCGACGGCGTGGACGTCCTGTGAAAGGTTGGCGACAAGGGGTGGAGGAGGAGATCAGAAGGTGCCAATTGCCTGATGATCTCTGGGAGGAT